TAAGACGATCACTGTATTATAACAAAAATACTTTAAAGTTATTATTTCAAAAGGTGCTGTTTATTAAATACAGACTATAGTAAGTAATAAACTTTCTTTATTACCGAAGAATATGATATAAAAAGTTGGAGAAAATGGAACACCTTCAAGGCTATCTCTCACAAAGAATCTCAAATTATACTACTAAAATCAATTTCATTATTAACTTCTTTTAATGTATTCCTTTGACTTTTGACACTGTGGAATTTGCTAAACTGTGGCAGGATGTTTTATATGTATCATTCCTACAGTTATCACTTGTCACTTGTCACTTGTTAGTCACTTAAGGCAATGAAACTTGTAAAATTTGTATAAATTCTTTTGGTGTCAATATTTTCGAAAACTGAAGACAGTCAAAGCAACATTTTGCTATGATAATCATCGCATTGACATACAATTCTATTTAAAAAAAAAATATGCATTTGAACAGAAAATGTAAATAAAAAATATTTTTTTTTGCAATCAAATTACATATATAGGTATATAGGTATATTTTCACATCAGTTTACATTTTAAATGTCTTAGTAAAGAGCAAAATAAATAAAAAATTACATGTTTATTACAATCGTGCTTTTAAAGGTCAATTTTACATAAAAAAAATTTGAGTGGAGGCATGTAAATATATCTATTTATTACTTATTTTATTTAATACACATTTTTTCACTTTTCCCTTCCATCTTTTTTATTTTTTCCTTATCAAATTGCTATCAAATTTAAGCACGTTATAAGGGCAATTTTGTACTACCTACCGTTAAATTTTAAACTTATATCAAAATTTGTATCGTTAATAGATCCGTTAAATATTAAATATCACTGTCTATTCGGTGTGTTAAAATTTAAGGCGTCTCAATTTTAATTGCAGATTGTTGGTAATATTCAATCAGCAAACATTTAAACTTCTATATTCCGTGGTAATAATATTTTTATTAACTTCAAATTACTCGCTGAACGACAGTTATTTCATATATTACGTATTCTATTTTCTTTAAAATGAATATATAACATTTTATAAATGCATTTTTTTGGAGTACTAACTAAACTCTTAAGACAAATTAAAAACATGTTCATTTCCATAAAATTCTGCTTTTATTTAAATCTAGAACAATTTTATTTTAAGTGAGGGTTCCCCGACAAATATAATAATACATTATATCAGTTTTTAATGTTATTCACAATTAAAGCTTCTGTCCACATACCTAGTTTGAAGACAATCTCTCTTCTTTGGTATTTATTGATTTGATAAATCAGTGATTTGTAAATTAAAAATCGATTTCCACCAGATTGAGATATTAATGTCAATTTTAATTCTAAAGAACTTCTAAAAACATTTTTTCAGATTTTTTGCAAAGGAAGGTCATTTTACCTACATATTTTTTTTTGTTCCTGACAAAAATATATTAAGAATTATTTTTTAACCAAGCAGAATTGTTCCAAAATNTAATTTTATTTTAAGTGAGGGTTCCCCGACAAATATAATAATACTTTATATCGGTTTTTAATCACATAAAAATCACCATTTTCAACATCTGGTGTATACAGGTTGTCCACATATCCTTAACTGTAGGTGTAGTAACAAAAGTTTTTAAGCTGGAGATTTAACGTTACAGATTTGTAGAGAAACAATCTTACATAACTAAAAAGTAATGTGTGGCATATTTTCGTTTCTCAAAAATTAAGTAAGCCTTGCCAAGAGAAAGAAAAATATTATAGGTAAAGTCCCTTTTTCATATAAGACGTCAAAAAATTTTATTGAAAAATGTTATTCACAATTAAAGCTTGTGTCCACATACCTAGTTTGAAGATAATCTATCTTCTTTGGTATTTATTGATTTGATAAATCAGTGATTTGTAAATTAAAAATCAATTTCCACCGGATTGAGATATTAATGTCAATTTTAATTCTAAAGAACTTCTAAACACATTTTTTTCAGATTTTTTGCAAAGGAAGGCCACTTTACCTACATATTTTTTTTGTTCCTGACAAAAATATATTATAGCTGTTTTACATTGACAATTTATTCATCAATAAATTGACGAAGTTCTTCATGAATTAATTCACGAATTTATTGGTAAACAGTGTGGTTTTACACTGCTACAGACTTTGTCAAGTTTTTTGACGTATGAATCAGTTCTACCAATGAATCAAAGAAGCAATTAAATTTCAAAAATGTCACCTTTCATAATTGTAGTGATACAACAGCGGTACCGTTATGACACATATTATGTAAATATTAGTTTTTTGTAAATAACAAATCAGTAAAAACAATGCGAAACTAGCACGACGCCACACAATTATTTACATATTCCACATAACCTCATTACTGATCTGAGGCTGGAAATCTGTTGGGTTGGTACTTCCGAAATTGACGAAATTTAGAACATGCTCTAATTCGTCAAGAACTTGATGAATAAATTGATGAAGTTATTTGACAGCTGATTTGGTGCATTACACTTGTCCAATTTCTTGATGAAGCGACTTCATCAATTAATTGATCAATAAATTGTCAATGTAAAACAGCTTTTAAGAATTATTTTTTAACCAAGCATAATTGTTCCAAAACGTCAGGATTCCGTTCAAGATTTTTTTTTGTCATTGACACTAATGTTTAAAATATACGGACAGCCTGTACATATTAAATTTCGGTATTAGTATTAGTGAATTATCAAGATAAAATCAACTGTAATATTATTTCTAATAATTTTTTAATAGGAGGAACAAAATGTTTCCCGTGAATTTAACTCCATCCATGAAAAATTGTATATGTTGCAATTGTATATTCTGCTTTAAAAGTTAAAAAGCTGATATTTAAAACGACGAAATTATTTTAATATGCACTGAGATCAAACAATATTTTATACATGGAATTATTATTTCCATTCATAAAACAAAGGATTTTAATTGAATTGTGTACCAAAACAATTATAACACATTTTTGGGATTTAGCGCCTACCGACAATTTAATTCTTATGGGATTAAAACAATTGTCACTACGCAATTTTAGAATAACTCTAGGGAACATGTGCAAAAATTCGTAGCATTATCGTAAATTCTATTGCCAGTGACAACTTCACTTCGCTGGTAATTTCTCGAATGGCATTTAAACATTAAGAAAGTCTTATAACATTTTCCTTGAAAAGCGCTAACGACAAATTGAAACTAATTGGATGTACTGAAAGTTGGAAAAGATTTCGTATTCCAGAATAAGGCCACATTTCCAGCCACTTACGTAACTGAAACAGACTAATTTCCAGTCCACTTACGGGGTAAAAACTTTCGGAGACTTCGATTTAAGTATTTACAAAGTGACATCTAGCTGTCTTTAATGCACAGTTGCACTGGTCTTTTTAGAGAAGTTTTGTGTTTCTTCTAGACAAGTTAATATTGGAAAAAGTCCTTCTCTGAATTGAAGCTGATAGGTTGAATTAATTCAACTTTCGATAGTCTGGACTGCAGGTTACTTTAAATAATGTAAAAGTTTTATAAAGATTGTGGAACTTTGAAAAATTATTGATTTCCTTTAGATCAATTAGTAATTGCTTACGTCTGTTCCTTTATTATAAATAATGCTTCGTATACGTGAAAAGTGAACAAAAGTATATGGACGCCATTTTGATTAACTTTTCTTCTAAGTTTCTAAGGCTACCAGTTTATACCCCAACAATAAAAGTAATGCAAAAATAATATTTTTTTTCGGAAACATAATTTTTGAGGAAACACCCCATAACTTGAAGGCAAGTTTAAATTGAGACATAATTTTCCCACGTTTAATACTGTTTGATTCATGTACCTATGGAAAATATTGTTCCAGTATCTTCCTTTGTTTAGATGATAATTAGATATATTTTTTTTAATTTGAACATACTGTGTCTCAAAAGCAAGGATTTTAAGAATAAAAAAACAAAAACATTGCTTGAAAACACATTTCAAACAAAATTCTTAAATAATGGTTACAATTTCTATTGATTGTATAAAGTTTTTCCAGTGCAGTGGTCCTATAAATATATACTATAACTAAAGAATCTAAATAATTTAGTTAAGATGCGATTATATTACAATTACAGAAATGAATCAAATAGAAAATCCATCTGAGAAATAAAAAACATTTAAATTACAAATTTTAATTTTGTTTTTTTATTTATACATCTAAGTATATACTTTTTTGGAACAAAAACAAACTAAATCGAACATTGTACTCGCTATATTTCTACAGAACAGATAGTGTATGACTTATTATCAGGAGAAACTATAGGCCACAATGGAATTCCGACTAATCATTAAGTATTAAGATTCAAAGTGAATCTAAAATTCAAAATTTAGAGCATACCAAGATATTTTATGAAGTTGTGTGTTTAAATGTTCATATTATTAATTTATACCCTGGACATATTTATTTATAGAAATGCTTTGGAATACCACACCCTAATTAAAAATTGAAGCAACTAACCCTGGCGCATGCGCCATAATTAATTCTTGATGACTCCGTGAACTTAAAATTTAAATTTGATTGTCGAATTATCTGTTTGTTCAAACATTTTACAACATTCTTTACTCTAGAACGATCATATAAAAAAAATCGATATCCAATTCCTATAAGTAAAAATTCTATAAATGGCGTAGTTCCTTAATCCTTAGAGTCGTAGTTTCCAAATTTCCCTCTGAAGAATACAAAATTTTGATCTAGGGCATTAATTATTATGTACATTATGTCCCGTTTTAGATCATATACTGCTAATTACGATGTTTACGCCACTGGACCAAGGAACCAAAACGGTTTTTTGAAAAATGTAATAAAAATACTTTAGATTTATAGCAAACTAAAAAATTATGTTCGAGCCAATTCAAATTAATACCTATTTCCTAATTTTGATTTAGCTGTTTACGTCTAGTATATAGAGCGTCTTATACAAATCTCCAAACGCGACAACCTTGACTATATATATCGATATAAACAAAGTTTTACCTCTGACAGGTCCGGATCGTTTTTCATTTTTTCTTCGAGGGTCTCAGCCGCCATGGAACCCAGGACGCAAGCAAGGAACAACAGCCCTACAGGTACACACCATTTCGGTCGGTCGCCCATCGTTTTACACAGTATCATTCACTTCACTGGGGGCTTCGTAAAGTTCGTTGACACAACTCTGTGAGCGGTCTTCGCACATACACGACGAAGAACAATGTTTGACTGAACGCGCGACGGTTGCTACCCCCACCCTCTTCGCGAGGTTCGTAAATCCGCGCCAGGACCGCGGGTGCCATGACGCAAACGCGGTAGGGACGCTTCGCGATTGTCAGTGATGTGATGAGGTCAGGTGGTAATAAATATTTTCTACGGGAAACAGTTCCGAATTGGTAATTGCAATAATTGATACATTATACTACTTGTTTCTACGGAAGGACATCTTTCCCACCAACAATGAATTGTACATTGGAGGTGTTTCCTGGAAACCTTTTTAAAACTTTGATTTGTTACTTGGAAATAATGGCTTTACAATCATTTGGTTTAATTACTGTAAGAATGAGTGCACTGTGGAAGCAAATTAACTAAAGTGTATTTAATGATTAAGATAAAAAAAGATAGAAACACTATCATAAGATAGGTCCGTTTTTTTATTAGTGAACAGTTCTTGGATCAGATTTTTCTTTAATAATTATTATACAGAGTGTAGAAATTATAATTCTTACTCCCTACACAGGATTTTTCTTCCTATTTAATTTAGACATGGCTAAATTTAGTATAAGTACTGCTCCAAATTGTTGATTTTCAATTAACATTTTGTTAATGTTATTTTTAATTATATGTTTTTAATATTTGTATTTTTACTTATTGCAAAAGGTACACAGCAGAAAATAATATAGTATATATTCATATTTATGAGTGAAATTAATTGGTATTGAATTTTGAGCGAACTAAAGATTTTAACAAAGAAGTGAGCTTAAAAACACAATTTTTGTTATAAAAACGAAGATATGTGAGAATGAGAACATACTGTGTGAAAATCTTTCCGTTTGTTGTAGATATTGCGCATTTCTAAGCAGAAAAAACACAAAGCGGTGGCTCAAAATAAGTCGATTTAGCTAAACTTACCTTAGTTCACTGTTGCTCCGTTTGGGAGGTATACGGCCCTGAAGTTGCAATTTCAAAATCGTTTTTTTATATATATAAATTTGCTAAAATTTGGTGCGTTGACACCGCTCTATAGGACAAACCCTATACCAAAATTATGAGTAATATCAATCCGTTGGCGTAGAACTTGAGTTTTTTTAGTAGTTACGCCTTCCATAATTTTACGCCAATGGAAGAAAATAATTTTAAGTATAAAATTTAGATTAAGTACAAAGTTACTACAAAAACGGTACCCTTGATAAGACTCAATTACTCTCATGATTTATTCGAAATTTGTAATTTAAATCATTGGCAGTAATTTTGACACAAAAATTAAATTAGGAAAACATGCATGCAAATAAATAAAAATGTCATAGTAGTTGTTCAAAATGGCCACCACTTACACGCATACAAAGATTTAAATGACGAAGAAAATTGAAATACATAACTCTTTTCATAATTTTTTCGTCGAGTATTTGTTGCATCTTGATGACGTTGCTATAGTTACTCTTCATTTTCTAGCGATGTAAACCACGGACTTAAAATGACCCCATAAAAAATAATCCAATGAATTTAAGTCGGGCGAACGTGGTGACCAATTTACAGCAGCACCATTACCTATACTCATCCATTTGTTTGGGTAGCTAAATCGACTTGAGCTGCAGTGTATCTGATGGAGCGTTGTAAAGACTTTTTAGGGACGCCCTTTTTTCGGTTATTGCTAATTTTAAGTATGCCGACCAGGTATGTTTTTAGGTAATTTTACTATTACTTATTGAGAGATATTAAATAAAATGAATGGTCCAATATTTAACAAAACAAATATAAAATTGTATTTTTACGTAGTATATGTATAATTAGGAAACTATGATGCGTATTTATTTTGTAGATGATTTTCTTTTAATTTATAAAAACATGATGGATATCTAAAAACATTATCAATAATCAATAAATACTTTTAAAAATAAAACAAAAAAAAAAACAGGAAAAGGTAGTAGAAGCGACTAAACGTAGAAGATTTTAACAAAGCGTATACCAAACGTAATAGATGCTCTTAAACGAGCGAATTCTATTGATAATATAGAGATTTCATTTTCCAAAAAGTTCTAGAAACTATAATTTGTTTATTAACTTATTAATTGTAAAATTGTGTGTGAACCGTTAAATATATCATTATTTTAAGTTAATTATAACACAAAAATACCCAGTTAACTCAAAATTTACAAAATTTTATTCATTTCAATTATTATTTGCCGATTATAAATTTAAATTTTATATACAGGGTGTCCGCAAATTTCACCGACAACATTTGACTGCATATTTACGACGATATATAAATACGATCTTCGAAAAAAAGTTAAATAAAAAATGTTTGGTTTTTGAGTTACAAGCCTTCAAAGTCGTAAAAAATAAAACTAATTTAATTAATAACTTCATAACCTTTTTATCAATCGCGTTAAAATTTGGCATATTTATTTGGACTATTATGGCGTATTACTTCTTAAAGCTTTAGTCAAATCAATATACTGGGTGATAGTTTTCTCCGGACCCCTTTTAGCGGTCAAAACTTTTACAGTTGTCGTATTTAAGAAGAGAACTGTCAGTTGTGAAAATCGCCTAGAGAAAGCCATTCTTGAGAAAAATGGCGTCATAGTAGTCCAAACAAATGTGCCAAATTTTAAAGCGATCGGTAAAAGGGTTATGAAGTACCCGAAAAACCAAAAAGTTTTTGTTTAACTTTTCTTCGTAGATTGTATTTATTTATCGTCTTGAATATGCAGTCAAACGTTGACGGTGAAATTTGCGGACACCCTGTATAATGGCAACCCCAACTAAATGTATTGATGATATAACTCAATCTTGTGTTTGTTTTGTAATAAGTTGTAACATAGTTCACCATGTTTATAATTCATAAGTAACTCAATATTACCCATATGAGATTTATTTAGCTTACAAATAGCTCAGTGAACATTTACTCAACGGACAATGTTATTATTTCAACACATTTGAATGTGAACTCGTATTAACAAAAAATTCTGTTTATTTTGAATTATAATTTACTCAGTTTTTTTACGATGTATTGATTTAGCTTAATGTCTCGTAAATAAATATTTTTTGTACAAATGGAGGCAATAGATTTATCTGTTACGTGTAAGAAAGACGTCACAAGAAATTTTCAACAGAACTTTTGTCAAACTGAAGAAAAAAAACGAAAATAACAATTTTTCCTAAAGCGATTCGTAAAGGTTCTACAAACCCCTAAAGACTTGACATGAAATACAGTTTTTACTCAATTGCTCAAAAATCATTGAAGATATATGCTTCAAATTTGGTATAGAACAGCTCTTCTAATTATCTCCATGTAAAAGTTGAACAAAAATTAATCCGTGGTGTCAGAATTAGACGGGATCTGAAGAGTTTCAAGTCAAGAAAAAAATTATTTAAATGGATAAGAATCGAGGGTTATAACAGTTTTATTTAGAAATGATCTATCCTAATATGTAAAAGAAAAATTGTATTTTATGTACAATAACTTGTTTAGGGTCCAATCAAATTTTGCTATTTTTTTGCAATTTAGCTACATGGGAGAAGCGGACTATGTCAAAGAAGCTTTATTTCTCGTCCTATCATTGAGGAATCGTAGTTCGCGATCGCATTAGGAGAAATAGTTACTCGCAAGTTTGTAGCAATGTTATTTCAACCTATATATATATAACGAGCGTTCAAATAAAAACGTGATCAAGTTGGTTCCGAAAATTTGGACGTAGGGCGTAGCGTATAGCAAATGAACTTAAACGTCATCTGTCAAAGCGCTATATCGCCGCTATCAATTTGAATATTTTCGTTTTAAAANCAATTCAATTTCATACGAAGCAAATTAAAACCTACGAAACAGTCATAATCTAATCGTTAGATAAAAGGTCGGGACACTTCACCGTAGTGTACACCAGGCAAATGTCGGTTGCGTGACGGCCGTCACACGGTGAAATTTAGGGGCGGTAATTTTGACACTACTTAAGGCTTACATCACTAATGGGACATTAGATCATGATTGTACTCATACGTTTCATACAATTTACTCACAAACCTAATCGCCCGATTACTTAACCTACACCTAAAGTACTGGCCCTAAGTGTGTTTCACTACACATCACTGTGCCCTGCCCGAGCGACGTTATTGTGCCGCAACATCTCCTATGAAGTCTTACTGATGATTAAACAATACTATTTAATGATACTTGTAGTAATATCGAAAGACTTCACCTGTATATGTCTTATTTTCGAGGCCGGTTTTTCAATTAAACTTTTTCTTCTTCATTCGCTGAATAGAAGTAAGTGATACAATTCCAAATTCACATATTCAGTGTAAACAAAATTTAAAACTACAATTCCAAGGCAGCGGGATACAAAAAGTATTTAGAATAAATCAATATCAGTTCCAGGGAACAAAAACTATACATAAACCTCGAACTATTTTTGTTGAGTTTAGTACTTATAAGGATCGGCAAAAAGTTATGGCAAATAGAAGTCTTTTATCAACTGGTATGATGATAATTAGAGAAGATTTAACCGAATTTACGTTGGGCTTATATAAAGCAGCTCTTAAAAAATTCAACTATAAATCTGTATGGACTCAAGATGGAAACTTATTGGTAAGGGGACCAAATGGAAATAAAGCAAAAATAGATGACTATGATAACTTGGAAAAGTTATCCCAATAATTGAGATGGGAAATGCATTCACTACCCAACACGTTCAAGGGATATTTGGGGGAAAACTGGTGAAGGATCTGTCAAGAGTATACATTTGTATTCTTTTTTTTTAACTATATGTATTTTTGGTTATATTTTAAATATATATTCTTTATTTTTAATTTAATTATATTATACATTTATATATTAATTTTTTTTTTAATATGTCGATTAGGATCTATTACCAAAATTGTAGGGGACTTAGAACTAAAACGGAGAATTTCTATCGAAACTTATTGTCAGAGAATTATGATATACTACTTCTAACTGAAACTTGGCTTACCTGTGATATTATGGACTCGGAGCTGTTTGATGATAGGTATGTGGTTTATAGGAGAGATAGGATTTTGGAGGAGACGGGTAAGGGGCGAGGTGGAGGTGTTCTTATAGCTATACTTAAAAAATATAACTCGTCATTAGTGAAAATGGATACGCATTTGGAAACTATTTTCACAAAGATTAATTTTTCTGGCAGATCATTCATTTTTAATTGTACATATATTCCACCTCAGTCTAATTCTCAGTATTTTAGAAATTATATAGACATTTTCGACAATATTGATAAAGAAGTAAATCTAAGTACTAATTTATTTATATTTGGAAATTTTAATTTACCCTGTATCAATGGCACACAATTTATATTTCGCAATAATGGCAAATCTGTAAGTTGTATGGCTGAGTTATTGAATTTGTATAACTTAAAATCTTATAATAACTGCCTTAATGAAAATTTAAGAACACTAGATTTAGTATTGGCTTCATTGCCATGCGTTGTTACTGAAGAATCTTTACCTCTTGTGGATATAGATCGTAAACATCCTGCCCTCTTAATTGAAATTAATATAGACAAGTTTAAGCATTTCGTAAACGATTTTAAAGGTTTGGAAAATAAATATAACTTTAAACATGCTAATTTTGCACAACTGTATGAGTTACTTAACAATTGTAATTGGAACATATTAAATACTATGAACGACGTAAATGATACTGTAAATTATTTCTATTTGAAGTTGTATGAGATTCTAGATATGTGTTCCTAAATATAAAATTTGTACTAATAAATAAAAAAAAACTACCCATCCTGGTTCACAGAAGAAATCCTATAAAGATTTAAGAAAAAGAGTTAAGTCGCTAGTCAAACAGGCTTATGCTCAATATATTAAAGGTGTAGAAGATAATTTAACAAAGGATTCCAACATCTTCTGGAATTTTATAAATGGAAAAAAGAAAAATAGAAATAGCTCGAGTCAATTTCTCATTGAAGATGAATACACATCTGATAAAAAAAGTATTTCTGATGCTTTCGCTAATTATTTCTATTCAGTTTATGATCTTAATGATGCATCGTATGACATCACGTTAGCAAAGAATAATTTAGATAATTCAACTATTAATTTAAGTCACATGAACGATGTTCATGTTGGTGTGAAGGATCTAGAAGATGCCTTTAAAAAACTAAAACCCAAAAAATCATCTGGACCAGATGGTATACCCTGCTATATATTTAAGGCTTGTAGAGAGCTCCTATTATATCCATTATTAATAATCTATCAAAAGGTCTTACATTATGGTACATTTCCAAGGGTTTTTAAAATAGCTAGAGTAACTCCAATACATAAAAAAGATGATAAGCATTTGGTCACTAATTATAGGCCTATAACGATTTTAAATTGTACTGCGAAAATTTTTGAATTTATACTTTATGAAAAAATATATGGCTTCGTTAAAAATATTATTTCTCCAGAACAGCATGGCTTTTTTCGATGCAGATCAATAGAGACAAACTTGGCTTCTTTTGTTAATAGAATTAATCTGGCTTTTGAGGAAGGACAACAAGTTGACACCATATACACAGACTTTGCCAAAGCCTTTGATCGTGTAAATCATGATATATTATTGTCTAAATTATACTCAGTCGGTTTAAGTGAACATATGATAAAATTATTCTCATCATATTTACAGGATAGGAAACAATTCGTTTGTTATAAAGGTACTGATTCACAGATATTCTCGGTTCGGTCTGGTGTACCTCAAGGTTCCAATTTGGGTCCATTACTTTTCTTAATATTCATAAATGACTTACCAAAGATCATTTCCTCAGAATGTCTTATGTATGCTGATGATCTAAAGATATATAAACAAATTGAAAATGAGAACGATTTTTCAGTATTACAACATGATATAGATAGGATACATGACTGGTCTATAAAGAATAAACTACATTTTAATTTAGATAAATGCAAAGTAATGACTTTCAATAGAAATAAAATTGTAAAGCACCATACTTATTCAATGAACCGTAATACTCTTAGCAGAATATATTCAACCAAAGATTTAGGAATATACTTTGAATCTAATTTAAATTTTAGAAAACATATAAATGAAATTACTAATGCCTCATATAGGTTATTGGGCCTCATTAAAAGGGTAACTGGTGAATTTAAAAACATTAACTCTATTATATATTTATTTAATACACTTATTCGCAGCCGCCTGGAATATGGGTCGATAATTTGGACACCTTCAAAACAATGTCTCAGCCATACAATTGAAACAGTACAAAATAAATTCATAAAGTACTTATATTACAAAAAATTTTTTACTACTCCTGGATTTACATCTTATGAGCCTTATCGTATACAATTTAAAATCAGTAAATTAGAACATAGGAGAATTAGGCGAAATTTAGTGTTTTTACATAAAATCTTAAATGGAAGCCTCGACACTCCTTATCTGCTCTCACAAATAAACATAAATATACTTGATCACAGGATACGCCCCACGAAAATAATATTTAATACAAATACTAAAACACTGATTAACAGTATATGTGAAATCGTTAATAAATATCATGATAGAATATCAATAGGCATTTTTGATACTTTATTGGTCAAGTTTCGGAAAGCCATTTCTAATACGGATTTTTCTTGAGAGATATTCCCCGTTTGGTTCTGACTAAGTACTCCCTAATATCTTTGTTATTGTACAGTTAGTTTATAATAATTAGAAACATGTAATTAGGTTTCTATAACCTGTTTGTTTCTTTCTTATAAAATAAAATAAAATAAAATAAAATAAAAGCTGGCTGCGAAACGTTTTAAATATAAAATCTCCTATTTACCTAAGCTCAAAACGCTCGGGTAGGTTGATTGTGTTTTTTTAAAGCTCATCATTTCCAGTAAGCTAAACTTTTTTACCACCCACTCCTCTCACAGTGCCGTCATCATATTTTTTAGCAGCAACCATATTTTTTTATTACAACGCTTGATTGTCCTCTATATTCTGCGTAAGCCAAATATTTAGTAGTGTGGTATCGCTTTGATACTTTGCGGCAGTTAAAGTTAGAAAAATAAATGCAGAATTGAATATTAATTCATTCAGCACAATTTAAAATTTTTGAAAGCATTACGACGTGGAAGATAATAAAATGTGTTCCAAGAATTATCAATTATGAAACTGTCTATTAACAATTTTAATATATCTTCTTTTATATGTTAAATATTAAGGCAGAACTAAGCTCAGTGGGTATGAAAATTTAATTTTCCAAGAGCAGAAATTGGAAAATATAGCCTAGAATTTTGACTTCTATAAAATGAAATATTACGTGCTTTTTTTCTGAAGAGAAAAAATATATTTTCTTGGGTAATTTCTAGAACCAGAAAAATATTTTATTAAGTTGTCTAATTTACAGATATCACTTTACGAACCTCGTCCCTACCTGTTTGGTAATTTATTCATTAATTTAAAAGTTTATTCTACCATTTGCTTAATTGAATGTAGGTATATGTAATACCTGGATTTTCACTCTACGAAGTAGAAATAATTTAATCAACATCAGTATTTGTATATTATATTTTGCTAAATACCCACTCGCGTTTCAGTATATCGAATTAGAATTTAATTTTACAATTACTTTATTATTCATATCCATTACATCACACTGTAGCCACAGGGTCTCAATCTTTACTTGAATTCTGTGGATTTTGTACTTCATTAGAATGTTTAATTTTTCAAGCGCCTGTCATAGTATTAGAGATTACTATTTACATATAATCATACCTCAATCCTAACCGATTATTTCTTTCCAATTATTATTTGCACCTAAACCTACTACTGCTAGAGACGACATTACTAATGGTACTTTATATGACCTTATTAAGGCTTTTGACTGTGTGGGCCACAACAAATTACTACTAAAAAATACGCGCTATAGTACCTCGCTTATTAAATCATTCTTGAGTGACAGATCTCAATTTGTCTCTTTCAATGGAAGTAAATCTTCATGCTTGATCATGAATCACGGTGTCCCACAAGGATCTGTCCTTGGGCCTGTGCTGTTTCTCATTTATATAAACGATCTACCAAATAGTGATAGCATTTATTCTCTGCGGATGATACTACGATCCTAAACAGTGCAGGTCAGGCCAGTGTCCTTCGTAAGAATATTCAAACAACACAGGATAACGTTAAGCAGTGGTTTTTTGCTAATAAGATGTCTCTCAATCAAGACAAAACTCAGTCTATTTTGTTTCTTTGCGTTATGTGCATGAGTTCACCAATTGCGCCTCGAAAGTGTTTCTCGGAGTGAACATTGATTGTCAAATGTCTTGGAAGCAGCATATTGATGAGATATCTAAAAAAACTATCCAAAAAGATGTTCCTAATCAGAAGCCTTGTTAATTCTGTTTTGATAAAAACATTGCTGTCAGCCTATTATGTTTTTTTTTCACTCACATCTGTGCTATGCTATTTTGAACTGGGGTCATTCTTGCCATGGTGATGAAATTTTTAAATTACAACGCAAATGTATTCGCATTATTGCAGATTACCCTATAGAGCGGACTGTAAGCAACAATTTAAAAAATATGGCATATTTACACTACCAAGTGTCTACATATTGGTGTCTCTTGTACATTAAGGAAAATATCCATATGTTTTGTCAACATTGTGTGAACCATGATTATCCTACTAGAAACAGATATAATAAAAAACTTTCCTCTTAGACTAAGTAGAACTAGAGTCGGTTGTAATTACCTACTATTACATGCGCTTTTCTAATATGCTACCTGAAGCAATTAGGTCCTTGTGTAATACTCACTATAAAATGAGAATAAGGAACTTTCTTAAAATGAAAGCTTTTTACTCATTTGAAGATTATTTTAATGATGATTTTGTTGCTCTTGTTAGTTCCCTAGGAATACCATGTAATGTGTGTGATGTGTGATATATTTCATTATGTATTTTGTAATAATGCCTCTTTTTGTATTAATAGTATTTATTTTTAGTATATCTTTTTAAATGATTTATTCACATATCTGTGCGTTAGCTTTGACTTATTTTAATTACTGATACTTTTGGTGTCATATTTCTTTTGTGACTTGTGTAAACATTTGTCTTATGTTCTGACATCAATAAATTATTATTATTATTATTATTATTACTAACTAAAAATTTTTATAAATATTTTTAAATGAAATTTGACAGTGTATTTACTTCAATTAAAATATTCCTAAAGCTTTGGCGCATAATGAATAGGCGTACCAGCAACAATACTCAGGTCTTTCATTAAAAGAAAGAAAAAAAAAATTGTGTAAAACATTTTCTGAGAAATTCTGTCAAATTAACTATCAAAAATGTGGTGAACTATCAAAAATAAAGTTATGTGACATTAAAGAGAATTATCCATTATATATTTGGAGACCTCTTTTCCAATTAAATCATTTTGGTCTCTTGAGTTTTTTCCATAGAATGACCAATGTACGAATAAAAGTAAGAAAAAACAGATGCTTGTGAGCAGAGGATCACAGATAAAAATCAATTATTTTGCTCCAACTTCTCTAAAGTTAGGAGCACATAATTATGAAAAAGCTGACTCTATTAGCCTGCCCATGTCTCATTAAAGTAACAAGTTTTATTTGGTAACAATCTATTCAAATATTTGAAAGAAGGTTCTCTGTAACTTTCAATTTTTTTGGCAGGTCTTTTCTAATTTCGAAGTTTAGTTTCTGATAAAATTTTCTATGTGGAAAGTGACTATAAAGGACCATTCCAAAGATGCCATACTTTATGCCACTTCCAATCTTCGAAATATCAAAGAGCTCTTAGGAATAGTTCGTCCGTTTTTTTGGTTGTTTTTATGGGAGAAATCCCAAGTTTTTCGTAACATCGCTGTTATATCCTGAATTAACTTAACTTAAAGAATTAAAACGTATCGTTTTGACGTAAGTTATGTGTGCCAAATTTTTCCACGCCAGAACTATTAGGTATTATCATTAATGACAAATCGAATTCTTAATTTACCTTCAAACACACAACAGCAAAATCCAAATAATAACAACAAATGTAATTACAATGAACAAAAAACTTATAAAGGGCAAATAAGAACGAAATGAAGTAAAAGGTTGTCTAAAATACAGTTAGTAGGTACAATGTTGTATTAAACGTAACATCCGTCTTAAAAGTTTTGTATCATTGTTACAAAAGTTT